GACTTTCCCTTTAAAAATCCTGTTTACTCAGAGCTTGGGGTCCCACTTCTCTACTGTTGCATCAGTGTGACTTGGGTCTCGAGTTTGATCACTCTTCGTAATAAAGCTCTCTTGCAATTGCATCGAGTCTCCTGGTGGTCTCTGAGGGTCCCATGAACCTGGCATTACAACACCAGATCTCATTATAGATGGTTGTGAACCACCATGTGGTTGCTAGGAATTGAACTCGGGGCCTCTGGAAGACCACAGTCAGTACTCTAACCTCTGAGCCATCTCTCCAGCCCCAACTGCTCCCTCTTTAAACCTAGCCCTCCTATCAGGACCTGGAAGGTGAAACTGGGTTCTCAAATACAGATGTGGGTAAGTGGCTGCAGTCATTTATTTCTCTTCTCACTGTGGCCACGTTGAGAAGTCTCTGCTTTTCACTGTCTGGTGTACTGGAGACAGGAGGCATAGCCTAGCTTTGAAGGGCTGCTCAGACAAAATTCTGTCCCAGTCTTAGCCCCTTTTATAAGATATTTGTGTTGCAGACAAAGGATAATCAGAAGGAAACTCAGGAAGGACAGTTTCATTGCAAGTCATGACTGTGCACACCTGTAATCCCAGCACTCGGGAGCTAGATCTGGAGTTTAAGGTCAGGCTGGGCTACTTAAGACCCTATCTAAAAAAGAAAAAGAGAAAAAAAAAAAAAAAAAAAAAAGGAGAGAACAATAACAAGAGTAAAGCAACCAGTTTATGAGTTTATTGGGGTTATATTGCAGGATATTTGATCTCATTGTGAACCCCAGGATTGTGAACTGTAAAAAACAAAAAAAAAAACAAAAAAAAACCTTTTTCATTGTTTGGTGTGGCTCAGCCCTAATACACACCTTTAACCCAAGAGCTTTCTGTACAAAAAGGATTTAATAGTTAACCCTAGGTCAAGAGGCAGAGCAAGAAACCAGCTGACAGGAATCAAGTAGAAAGGAGGGGCTTTTGAGAGACAGAGGTATTTAAGACAACATGAAGGAAGAGGAACTCTTTGGCTTTTAGCTTTGGGCTTTTTCCTCCTGGGCTGCCAAGTGAGCTAGCAAAGTTGGGCTTTTGTCTTTTAGCATTTTGGCTTTTTCCTTCAGGGAGGTGAGCTGAGTAGGAAGGTTAGCTGGGGGCTTTCTCTGGCTCCTGAGTCCTCATCGGTAAAATCAAATGATTTGAGTTTTTGTTTTTGTTTTTTTTTTTTTTTTTTTTTTTATAATAACAAGGTTAGTTGCAGGAGTGTGGGTGAGGGGTTACTTAGAGGAGCGGAAATGACTCAACGACAGCTGCATCACCGAAGCCCATGAGTGACAGCTTATGAAATCTGGAAACCTGAGCACCACACCGCCTGCAGACAGCTTGACAGGCTGGACAGTGTCTATTTTCAGGCAGCTCAGGTGGCCCAAGTGTGTCACACAGCAGTCCTTCTTGGGGAGGGTGGAGCCTAACTTGATTGGCCGAGTTGGACTTTTGTGGTATCCTTACTTTGGTCCGTCCCTGTCAGGGGGAGTATATGTCTGTCTCCACCTCCCTGGGAATACTGTGGCCCCACACATGTGTATACGCACACAGCGTCCTGGTTAGCCATGTTAACCTGATACAACCTAGAGTCATTGGAGAAGCCGGATGGAAGAACCGCCTTGATCAGATTCAGTCGTGGGTATGTCTGTGGGGACTGTCTTGTTGATAAAAGGTGGCGCAGCCCTCTCCGAGTGGCACCAGCCATTAGCAAGCACCATATAAGAAAGCTAGCACACCATTAGTGTGCAAGTAAGTGATGTTAAGAAAGTTTTTATTGTACTTCCCTCACTGCGAGTTCCCTGGTCGGAGGTAGTGCTGAATGGAATAGCTCCTGCCCTAGCTTCCTTCAAAGACTGTGACCTGGAAGTCTAACAAGAAATCGATCCTCTTCCTCTTGTAATTTGCTTTTGGTTGGTGTTTAACTACAGCAAAAGAAATTAGAACATAAGAGTCATTTTTGTCTTTGTTTTTTTAAGATAGAGTCTCACTATGTAGCTCTGGTTGTCCTGGAACTCACCAAGATATACCCGCCTCCAGGGTTTCTCTGTGTAACCCTGCCTGTCCTGGAACTCTCTGTAGACCAGGCTGGTCTCCAATCACAGAGATCCCCCTACTTCTGCCTCCTGAGTGCTGGGATTAAAGGTGTGTGCTACTATGCCCAACCTCACTTTATTTGTTCATTTGTTTGTTCATGCATTATGGTTGAAGGGAAGGTTTTTACTGTAGACACAGAGAAGAGTACAGCATCTGGAAGCGTCTGGAGCAGGGATAGTACACTAAACATGACCAGTAGCCTGAACTGGGCAAGATAAAAGAGAAGTTGGGAAGGCGAGAGAGGAAAAGGGAGCAAAGGGTAGAGAGGGCAACGAGCCGAGAGTTATAGACTGGGTTTATGTAGCCCTGGCTGACCTTGAACTTAAAGAGATCTGTCTGCCCTCTGAGTGTTGCAATCAAAGATATAAACCACCACACTTGGTTAAGGTGTGCATGCGTGTGCGCCCATGCAAGCACTCAAGTGCCTGACTGCATGCGAATTTCTTTGTGGCTCAAAGCTCAGAAGAGGGCATTCTCCTGGAGCTCAAGTTACAGGCCTTTACTGGGATGGGAACTTGGGGCTTGGTTGTGTAGCAAGTGCTTTAAACGACTGAGCTATTTCTCCAGTCAAGCTTTTTGTTTAATTTTTGTGAATGCTTCAGCACGATCGTGCATGGCTTTACTTTCACGACTCAGGAGGCAGAAGCAGGTGCTATATATACTTAGTTCCAAGACTGCCAGGCTTATGTAGACTGTCTCAAGCAAGAAATTTGCAATTGTACACTATGTATGTTCTGTGTGAGCACCTGCTTCACAGTGATCAGGTGGAGGCCCTCACCTTCTGCCTGGGGACAGTCTCTTTTTCCAAACAAGTAATTCACTTGAAACAGGGTCTCCTTTTCTGCTGTGTACACCAGACCCCGGAGCCCCATTAGCTTCTAGGGACTGGCCTTCTCCATCTCCCGCCTTTGTCATCCTAGAAATGCTCCAGCTTATACATCAGCCTTTTTATTTTATTTTTATAAAGGAAAGTACTGTTACATACACTATTTTTATTCATATGTATTTTATTTTATATTTTTCAAGACAGGGTTTCTCTGTGTAGCCTTGGCTACCTGGAGCCTACTCTGTAGACCAGACTGGCTTCAAACTCAAAGAGACCCACTTGCCTCTGCCTTCCCAGTGCTGGGATTAAAGGCTTTCATTACTACTACCCAGCTTCATTTTATTTTTTATACATCGGTGTTTTGCCTGCAGTATCTGAGGGTATCAGATCCCCTGGAACAGGAGTTACAGTTGTGAGCTGCCACGTAGGTTCTGGGTTGCCTAGCAACCTATGATAGCATGTGTTGCCTGCCAGGTAGCCACACCTAGCAGGTGTGGTTATGTTGCACCTTAAAAGGTTCAACCAGCCACTTTTGTCTCTCTTTGCCCTCTTACCTTCTCCCCTTTCTCTGTTGGGGGGGGGTCCTTCCTTTCCCCTATGATGTCTTGCTTTCTCCTTCTCTCCCCCTTCATCTCCACCCAATAAACCTCTTTCATATAAAATCCACTGTGTGCATCATTTTATTTGGTCCTAAAGAACCCAGGTCCTCTGAAAGAGCAGCCAGTGCTCTTAACAGCTTGAGCCATCTCTCCAGCCCCTTACACATCAGCTTTAGTTGTTTTGTTTTTTTTTTTTCAAGTCTGTGTAGCCTTGGCTGTCCTGGATTCACTTTGTAGACCAGGCTGGCCTCAGAGTAATCCACCTGCCTCTGCCTCCCAGAATGCTGGGATTCCAAGTATGCACCACCAGGCCCAGACACACAACAGCTGTTATGTGGGCTCTGGGTATTTGAACTCAGGCTCTGTTCACAATTACTTTATCCCACTTGGCCATTCTCCCACCCACCAAGTTTTTCACTTTTTTTTTTTTTTTTTTGAGTCAAGTCAATTATGCCCAACATGACACAAGTCATTCAGACAAAAAGAGCTGGTAAAGGGCCAGAAAGATGGCTCAGTGGTAAATGTTCTTGATGCTCAAAGAGTTCAATCCCCAGAATCCATAGGGGGAAAGAGAGAATGTACTCCTGCAAGTTATTCTTTGATTTTTCTTTCCTTTATTTTTTTTAAGACAGGGTTTCTCTGTGTAGCCTTGGCTGTTCTGTACTGGAGCCCAGACTAGCCTTGAACTCAAGAGATCTGCCTTCCTCTGCCTCCCAGAATACTGTGATTACAGGCATGTACCACCATGCCCAGCCTTCTCTGATTTCTTGATGGCATGTGCAGACATAAAAAAAAAAAAAAAAAAAACCCACACAAAACAAAAACAAAAGAGCTGGTAAACTTAATTAGGAAGTCATTGCTAATGTTGGCAAGAGTGGTTTTGCTGAGATCAGAAGGAAATGTGACATCAAAGAGAAGCACACAGTAAGTCTTAGAAATAGTTGGTATCAACCATTAAGGCACTTTCAACTGTTCTTAGGCAAATGCTTTGAGAAATAAAGAGCTAGAAGCTGGGCATGGTAAGCTGTTCTCCCTGACCCTGTCAAAATACTAGTATGTTCTTTGAAAACCTTATTTAAAAATTTTTATCCTTTATTTATTTATGTGCATTAGTGTTTGTCTGCAGAGGGTGTTAGATGCTCTGGAACTGGAGTTACAGACAGTTGTGGGCTGCCATGTAGTTGCTGGGAATTGAACTCAGGTCCTCTGAAAGAGCAGCCAGTGCTCTTAACTGTTGAGCCATTTCTCCAGCTCCCCTCCCCCCCCCCCCCTCTTTTCCCCCCAGGACAGATTTCTCTGTGTAGCCTTGGTTGTCCTATAGATCAGGCTGGTCTCTGCCTCCCAGAACACTGGAATTAAAGGTGTGCGCCACCACCACCTGGCTGAAAACCTGTTAAGATTTTTCAATATTTATGTTTTTATGCTATTCTGGTAAAAAGTGGAAATTTAAGAAAAGAAAATGGACATTAACGTTTATTTCTAGCCCTGAAAGAACAAAACAATTCAGTCATCAAATACAGTAGTTAATAGCAAAGTACAGTTAGTTATGTTGGATTAAATTAAAAATAGAAAGCAATATAAAATTTGAGAACAAACAGAAATAGGCTACTTTTACCCAACGTCTAACCTACCAAAACAAGAAAAACAAATTGGTTGGAATTCAGAATATTTTGTTGGAAAGTAGTCACTTTATTTATTTATTTTTGTTTGTTTTTCTTGACACAGAATGAGCATACTTGACAAGGTTACCATATTTTCTTCTGCTCTTTGGGTAGCATAGAGCAGTGACTAAGAAAGCCTTGAGTTCTTTCAAGGCCAGGCCAGTGCTTGAACCTGCTCCCTCACTCTAGTATCATCTAACACAGCCACTTTGCCAGAGTGGTCAATGAACGTACTGAAAGGAGGGGAAAAGTAAGAAATTGTCCTACATACATGCTGTAGAAAAACCATTTAAATATCTATTATAGGAACAGCACTGACAGAAAGACCAATCTGCTTTGTATGGTGCTATGAAATCCTGTTAGAAAAACCAAAAAGAAATATTTAACTAGATTTTAGCAGTATTTTTAAATTTGGTATTTTTAAATGGTATATTACTTTCAAATAGTGGCTAGATCCTTCCTATCTTTAGCGGAGTTAGGGATCAAGCTAGGGGATTTGGGCATAATAAGCAAGTGATTCACCACTGAGCTACACCTCTAGTCCCATTAACCACAGTCTGAAACTACCTTAGAAAAAGTTTAAATGCAGGACATGGTGGTGCACACCTTTAATCCCTTTAATATTTGAGAGGCAGAGGCAGGGGGATCCCCCCCCGTGAGTTCCAGGCCAGCCTCATCTATATGAGTTCTAAACTAGCCAGGCCTATATAGTGAGACCCTGTCTCAAAAAATAAAGAGAAAACAATTCTGAGACTGTGTGTGTATGCCGGAGTGCACATGGAGGTCAGAAGACAACTTGCAGGAATCAGTTTTCTCCTTCCACCATGTTGGTCCTAGGGATCAGGCTCTTGTGGCTAGGCTCAGCAGAAAATGCCCTCACTCACTGCTCTCCATGGCCCTGTAACATTTTGACAATTTACTGATTACAGAGCTCAGGATGGTAACATTTTCATATTCAAAACCAGGTGCAGACTGTTTAAATGCCTGCCCTCTTAATTCTGACCACGGTCTGATAAGGTCTGAAAGCATCTGGCAAGAACACAGTGTATACACATGAGCCCATAAGGAAATACTTCTAGGGAGCTTAAAGCTGCCTGTGGAGGCACAGCATGTCACTAGGTACATTTCAAGCAGCTTAATATTTTATGTGATACACGATTCCTACTTTGTTCCAAGAACTCAACGCATGAAGGCAGAGCTGTGCCAGTCATGGTGTAGTATGCTGCAGTCACGCTACTTTTCACTGTTCTAGGCAGAAGGTGCTCTGTAAACGTAGCAGAAGAACATGAGAAGATACCTTTGGAGCCACCACCAAGCCTGTAAAGGTGATAAATATAAGCAATAAGGCAACAGCTCCTAATGACACTGGAGGACTACTAATGGAGGCTCCAGTGGGGATTCTTACTCTAAGAGATGACAAAAGAGAAGGAATACAGAAGGCAATTATTTAAAAAAATAGGAATCTCACTTCATACAATTGTCTTTCAACAGGATCTCAACATTTTAATTTAAAATTAACTAATAAATCACAATTCTATATTGCTTTAAAGATTATTTTGTTTAAAAACGACACATCTCAAAATTAACCATTACTATTAACTATTACAGGTTAGTTTATCCAGGTCAGGAGAGAATAAACAACAGTGCAGCTCCCTTAACCTCGGAGTCAGGTTTGAATGACAAAGTCCGTCGCCAGCAATGGACATGCAAATAACCATCCAAGAAATTGTAGAGACAAACCCCAAACTGCTTCTGTTGAGGGAAAAAGCCCTTGTGGAGTCACAGCGTAAGGTGGGGATTGGCATGTGTCCCATGTGGTCTCTATGACTTAGGATGGAGTGCCTTCTTGAGCAGTCATGAGACAACCAGTTCCACCATCTAGCTGGTTTTCTACTTTGTCGACAGCAGATGTTTACAAACAATGCTCACATCCAGAACTCAAGAGGCAGCTCAGCTTCCCACCAGAAATAAACCAGTTTGTTTCTGTGATTTAGTTACAATTGTAGGAGGACAAATACAGTCTAGGGGAAAATGAAACCCCACGGAGAACGGGCCATTAAGTGCTCTGTATGTTGAATTCACAGAAAACCTTTCTGTTACCGAAACCTAGCTATTTCTTCTAATCCCCATATCTTAATGGGAACAACAGGAAATAAAATCCCACCCCTTTCCCCAAATACCCCAGAGAGCAAACTTATTCATTCATGATTTGTACTATGCAGAATGGCAAGCATGTGTCGAATTTGTTGAAAGGGGATGGTGGGGATAAACCTGAACCAACCACAGAGATTTCTTTTCTGTGGTTGCAGGAACATAGAATAGACAATAATACCTCCTCCACAGGCAAAACAACAAAGCAACAAGGAGAAGCAGAGAAGAGCAAAGACAGGAGGGGAGAGAGGGCAGCTAACAGCTAACGCTACAGGTCGCAGACCTTTTATTAAATCTTTAAAATAAAAAGTATTACTATCAATGCACACGTTGCAGTTTTCTTTCTCCAGTTTTTTTTAAACAATGAATACCCTACTCATTTGAAAAAACAAAAACTAGAGTACCCAACACCTCAAATGACCCATCAAGTACTTTGCTATTTCATTTCTCACAGTGAAACATTGATAATGGGCTGGAAACACTGTAGATCAGATGAATCTTTAGAGTTTACTGCCGTAAGCTTCACCTCTAAATTATTGACATTTCATTATTACAACTAGCCTAGAACTCACCAAGGTTCAAATCTCACTTGGTTTCTGCTAGTCCCAAATATTTTTTTTCTTTTAAATAGAAAAAAGTCCTTAGCTTTTAAATTCTGAAAATTCATGGTTATTACTTGCCCTAGAGGGTGGAGGGGGTGTATGTGAAATAAGGGGTACGTCAAATAAAAACCGACACCTAGAGCCACAGCATACACAGACGCTCATTTCCAAGGGACAGCAGGGATGGGAGCGCCACCACAGTAACAACGCACAAATCACTTTGGTTCCTAAAGCCAAATCTGAGGAGAAATGGGCAGAAAAGACAAAAGGGTAAGCATGTGTGTCAGTGGGATTTTTTCTCTGTTATCAATGATTTAGTTATAAATATAGATTATTAGTCCTCTTTCTATACATGTAACAAATGTCAAACTCACTACCATGAAATTTCTAAAAGTTGACTCTTTCACATTTGTTAAAAAAGGTAAAAATCACAAACTTTCCCCCTTTCACTTTAAGCTCTGAACTGAAATACTACAATACAACAGCTGTCCTAACTTCTATAAAAAGTTAAAACATGCCAAGCTTCTTTGCCAATAGAAAGAGCTACATAATTTCTATCACATTTATCTTGAATTTAGGCACGAGAAAAACTCAAACAACTCAAAGGGAACGGTTGAGAGAAGGGAACGTTACAAAGAAATGGGTCTGAGGAATGGAAGGCTACAAAGAGATAAGACCAGCAGATGAAATACTCAGAAAAACTCGAATTTGACATTCAAGTATGAAAAATACTCCAAGGGAGACAACGAGCAAGGATCTACTGTAGTAAGAGTCATCAAAACAGTATGCAAAAGTCAAACGCTGTCTGCTGGAAAATGTAAGGCTAGGGATGCAGTCCATGGTTCTTTTTGGACCCTAAAAGCAGGGGCTCATCTCAAAGTCACAACTTTCTTACTGCAATTTTCTCTTGGTCATCTTTAGAAAATAGTAGTTTGCTTTTTGTTTTTCTCCATGTGATGCAGACTGTCTCTTTATACCCCTCAGAGTAACAATTTCATGTATTAAAAGACTTCTTTTAGAAAGCAGGTAAGAGAATATGAGGCCTCAGTGATGATGTTAGCGGTTACTCTTCATTGCTTCTTTAGCTGCCAGGATCAGTGGCGTCAAGCTAGATAATGGTTTGGCCAGTTTCAGGAAGGGATGCTGCCAAATGGAGGGGAGAAAGGAAGCTTAGAAGTTTTACTCATTTAGACACGAAAGCCCACAAATTACCTATGGATCACCACTTAATAAACTCAACATTTACGTTGATTCCTAAAATTCTCACTCAGCACATGACTTCTGCAGCTGCAAGGACAGCTAGTTTGTCTGTGGTATATGAGCTTGTTTCTGTCTACCTTTGATCATTTTTGTGTGTACATGTGGAGGCCAGTCAATGTCAGGAGCTCTCCTTATTTTCTTATATAGTTTCTCAATGAACCTGGTGTCAACTGATTGGGTAGGCTGGTCAACAATCAGTTTCTCGGCACTAGAGTTTATAAACACACATAATGACATTTAACTTAGGTGGCTGCTGGGGATCCAAATTCAAGTCCTCAAGCTTTCCCGCCAGCTCTTTATCAACTGAGACGTCTCCCCAGCCCTGGTTCTGGCTTTTAGAGCTAAAGTCTTACACAACGTAGCCTCAAACGCACCGCAATCTTATTGCCAATATCTAAGAAGTTACTCCCTGACTCGCTCCTCCCCTTCTCCCCCCATCCTGGTCATTGCTTTTTAGTGTCTTGAAACAGTGTTTCTTTATGTGGCCCTGGGTATCCTCAAACTTGGATCTCAAAACTCGGAGATCCTCCCTGAATGCTGGGATTAAAAGCGTGCACCATCATGCCTGGCTCCTTTTTATTCTCTTAAATAAGATTTATTTAATGTGTGACTGTGTGTGTGTGACTGTGTTCTAGGGACTGGAACTTACACATTTAATTTGGTGGCAAGTACTTTTACACAGAGCCATTTAACCAACCCCCAGTAAGTTTTCCTAGCTGCGTAACTTCTACAGATTTAAGGGGCCACAGCCATAGCGCAGAAGGCAGAGTGCTTGCCTCACATGCATAAAGCTCTGGGTTTAGTCCTTAGCATTGCACAGGCAGGAGGCTCAACACCATTCTTTTATCTTCTGGATAGCACTGAACAGTCCCAAGAGTTGATTACAGAAACCTACTACTATGATTAAAAAAAAAAAAAGAAGAAGAAAAAGAAAAAGAAATTAAAAATTCTTTTTTAAGGGCCAAAGAGATGGCTCAGCAGGTAAAGGCACTTGTAAAAGTCTGATGACCCGCATGCCATCCCTAAGACCTACTTTGTGAAAGGAAAGAACAAATTCTTTCAAGTTCCCTCCATGTATGTCTGTATGCACACACATACACACAGAGTTAAAATTTTAAACTGACTTTAGAAAAGCCTGAAACGCAGCAGCTGCTGGACTCTTGGCAAGCGATAGGGAGCCATGAGCACTACGAAGTACATCTTCCCAAAGCTATCTTCACTGCATTTACCTGCAACAGTTCTTTGGCTGAACCTCTTTTCTCCACATCCATTTCCAAACACCGATTTAAGAAATCCCGAAATATTGGGGAAAGTTTTTCTGGATTCTGGAGTTCAGGAGTTCCATTTGTTGCTATCAGGTATAAGGCCTAAAAATAGAACATTTTGGAATATTAAGGTCACTCACAAAATGATAGTGCATCAAGTTCCATACTCTGGCCTCTGTCACCCTGTGCTCTCAGTGGCAGCCCTTTTTGTTCCCACGGACTCAGGGACTAGAGAGGCCAAGGGCTTTCGGCTCCTCAGTGCTCTCTGAGACCTTCACCACCTACCTCCTGACTCGTGCTGTTGACAGCACATGGATCTTCCGTGATTCAATACCAAGGGAGTCTAGGTGAGTCGCCCCACTCCATCACTATAGGTCTTTCACTGTGATCTCAAATGTCATTTCTGTCCTAACCTGTGGCCATTTCAGCAGCCACAAAGAAACATGTCACATTCTGTGACCTCTTGACCTCTTGATCCACGATGCTTCTTCGGCTGTGTGCTTATGAGCACACCCTCCCTTCACCAGGACTAGTAACTGCAGTAACTGATAAACTCCACAGTTCATCTTTTCCACTTGTACCTCAACACCAGCAATTCTGTGGCAACACTGAGTCCCAGATCCCCTGATCCTCCCAGTTTCCATCATTCCCTGCGCGTGTGCGCATGTGTGTGTACAGGTATGTGCACGAGTACAGGCGCAACTTGTGCTTGTTAGAAAAGCACCTTTTAACTGAGCTTCACTAGAGGCTCACGTCACTTCTTTACCTACTTTACTTCACAGTATTCACCTGGCTGAATGTGGTTAAAGTTCTGATCACTCGTTCCCTAAGTCTATGTAGTTAAGTACAGTGATGGAAAAGGCAAAACCACTAAGACAGACATCTGCTTAAACTGGGTATGGAATCCCAGCATTCCAGAGGCAGAGGGACAAGAACAACCTGGTCTGTGCACAGCAAGTTCTAGGCTATGAGCTTCACAGTGCAACCCCCCCCAAGAATTCCCCACCACAAAAAAACCAAAAAACAAAAAACCATCACCCAAAACAACAAACCCCCCCCAAAAACCCACAACCCAAATAGGGTAAAAATACCACTCACTACCTCATATAAGCTTAGTGCTTCCAACAACCACAAAAGATTTCCCTACTCCATTTATTCCTTTTCTTTTGGAGGGGGGGTGTTGTTCAACAAAGGGGTTTTTCTATGTAGCCTGGGCTGTCCAGGAACTCACTCTGTAGACCAGGCTGGCCTCGAACTCAGAGAGATCCACCTCCCTCTGCTTCTGAGTGCTGGGATTAAAGGTGTGGGCTACCATCAACAGACTCCTTTTTGTTCTTCCAGGGCATAATTTCTTTTCTCATGACTAGACTGACATTAAGATCAGTGAACAGAGTACCATTTTCATTGATTGTAGCACAGCAAAGGTCCACACAAGAAAATAACCAACTCCTCTCTCACCCCATCTCTCTCACTTTAAACTTTTAATTATTTTGTTTCACGTGTATGGCTGTTTTGTCTGGGTGTTTCATGTGTAGTGCCTGCCAAGGCCAGAAAAGGATGTTAGATCTCTTGGAACAAGAGTTACAATGGTCGTGAGCTGCCACCCAGGTCCTCTGCAAGAGCAGCCAGTGCTCTAACTGCCGAGCCATCTTTCCAGTCCCTCTTCCTTATCTCTTGAGACCGAATCTTGGCTTTTTAGCTCTGGCTGGCCTGGTGCTCACAACATGGCTTCAAATGTGTAGTTATCCGCCTGCCTCAACCTTTTGGTGCTATATCATAGGCCTGAGCTACTATAAGAAAATTAATAATCTTTTTATTTTCTTTTGTTTTTTCGAGATAGGTTTCTCTGTGTTACCCTCGCTGTCCTGGGCTCACTTTGAACACCATGCTGGCCTTGAACTCACAAAGGCCTGACTGCCTCTGCCTCCCTGAGTGCTGTTAAGGATTAAAAGGCGTGTGTCACTACTCCTGGCAAGGGAAATTTTAAGGAAGAAGCGAGTGGTAGAATATCATCCCTCAGCTGCTGGAATACTCAGTTCAATATATCTTCTGTGTGAATACATGCTTTAACATTACCATCTAGGCATCCTATCTCAAAGACGTAACCTTTCCTTCATCCTTGGAACATGGGGCCAAGGTTCATTGGTGATAGCCTTCTTGCTATCCACAGGGTACCTAAATATGTAGGAAAAGGCACCTAATGGAAGTGGCTCGACTGATAAGAGTGCTTGTTTAGTATGTGTGATGCCATGGGTTTCGTTGTCAGCACCACATAGAACTGGGTGGTAGTGGTACACATTTGCATTTCCAGCACATGGGAGGTAGAGGTAGGAAAATCAGAAATTCAAGGTCATCTTCAGCTATAAGGCACCCATATGTATTGTAACAAAAAAGGGAAAAAATTTTCAACCCCCTACCCAAAGAAACCCTACACATATTTAGAGTACTTCTGTAGAAAGGTGATTACATTTAAATATACAAAACTATATAAGTCATTACCCCAAATCTAAAAACTTTTGAACTATCTACCCTGTAACTCAGAAGCAATATTTAGATACAGAGAAAGCAAGAGATTAGATTTCACCAACCATATTCTAAATTCTTGTATAATGGCTAACATAAGAAAGTGCAAAATGTGTTTTGAACAAAAGTATTTTTTCTTGGGCCCGAGTGATGGCTCCAGGAAGACAAGGCACTTGCTGCCAAGCTTGACAACCTGAGTTAAATCCTAGAACCCTAGAGCAAAAACCTAGAGCAAACAGAAGAAACCATCCCCACAAGTTGTCCTCTGACTGTCACACATTTGTAGTGGCATAACATTTTTTTTTTTTTTAAAGAAGGCAAAGTATTTTCTTACAGGAAAGTTAGTGCTGTATTGGTCTTACCCGTAAAGGATTTTCATTGAGGTATGGAGGTTCTCCTTCAACCATCTCAATAGCCATGATGCCCAGAGACCATATGTCAACTTTGGGGCCATAGGCTTTCCGTGTAACCACCTCTGGTGCCATCCAATACGGCGTTCCAACCATAGTGCTGCGTTTGCTCTGTTCAGGGGTAATCTGGGCACAGAAGCCAAAGTCAGCTACAGGATAAAGCAGAGCAGCAGGGTTAACGGCTTCAAGGGATGCGTCCACCATTCACTTCAGCAGACATGACGCACTGCCACCACCCACCCTCTGCTCTGTGACGTTTCAAAATACAGCAAAGCAGGGTAAGGTTAACATTTGTTGAGGATGTGATTTACAGATAATTTTCACAATTTACTTTTGACAACAACATAATTATCAGGTCTTTTTCTTCTGAATAACTAATTCTATTCTAAAGAGTTAAAATTAAAGGAGGTCTAAAAAGATTACCCAAGGTGAACAATAAAACTAAGTGAAGTGATTAAATCTGGCAAAGTTCAGAACATGGAAACTACGCTCTTCCTTTTTTAGGTTGGTGGGTATTCTTTAATACTTTCTTTCAACATGTATTTTGTGTATGTAGAGTGCATGTGTGAGTTTAGAGGAATATTTTCAAAAGTTCATTTTCTCTCACTGTGTGGGTCATAGGAACTCAAGTCAAGTTGTCAGGCTTGCTAACAAACACCTTTACTAGCTTAACCACCTGGCCAGCAGGAATTTAAATTTAACCAAATCTCAAATCACTATGAATCCAAGTTAGCAGAAGGCCTGGAAAAGACCACACTTAACTGCAAATGCATGTGGAAGGTGCTCCAGCTGCCTCATGTACATCCAAGGAACATGGGGCTTAGTGTAGTGCCTGATGGGAAACTGGCTGGGATGGGAATTTACACTTTCTTTCCTTGTTGTTAAGCCCATTTATCCCCTTATTTTATTGTTTAGATTTTATTCAGAAAGGGTTGGCTTTGAACACAAGATGTAGTCAAGAATGACCTTGAAGGCCAGGCATGGAGGCACATGCCTTTAATCCCAGCAACTGATAAGGAGGCAGAGACAGATGAATCTTTGTGAATTTTAGACTAGACTGGTTTACATATTGAATGCCAGGAGAGTCAGAACCACCTAGTGAGTTAGACACTGTCTCAAAACAAAAACAAAACAACAATAATAACAAAACAAAACCAAAAAAGAATGACCTGGAACTCTTGAGCCTCCTAACTCAACCTTCTGAATGCTAGGATTACAGGTATGTGCTACCATACCTGTCTGACATCTACTGACTCATTTAACCTATTAGCAAGGAGCCTGTAACACTTTGACTTTAATTATACATTTACTATTTATAATAATAGCAAGAAACTGCTTGGTTTGTTTTATGTTGTATCTTGTTTTTAAAAACTTTACTTTCTTTTTTTGGAGATAGGGTTTCACTGTATAGATGAGATTGGCCTTGAAACTCACTGGAACTAAAAGCAAAAAGCCACCACACTGACTTTACTTTTAGTTTGTGAAGATAGGCTCCCATACTATAGTCCTCAAATTAGCTGACCTCAAATTAGCAGCAATCCTGCCTCAGCTTCTTGAGTGTTGGGATTATAGGCACCAACCCGGCAAAATTTTTATCTTTTCATTTCAGTATATTTATCAGTCGAATTCTTAAAACTGAAAGTATCAAATATCAATGTTCTGCTCAACATTTAAGATAGTTCAGTTTTTTTTTTACAATGCTCTAGAACTTGCTTTATACATGTATTCATAATTCTATAAATGAGACTATTAAAAGGATAACTGTTAGGTAAAACAGGTAACTGTTAGGTAAAACAGTATTTATAGTGAAAAAGAGTGTTTATAAGGCAGGAACATCCTATGTAATCTTTAAAAGTTATTTAGTATGTGTGTAGGAGAAAAAGAACACACACACACACACACACACACACACACAGCTTGAGGCCAGATGAAAAACGCAATACTGTCTCAAGCACTCAGCGGGATGCACAGCTTGGTAATGTGGATTTAACCCTCAAGCTGCACCTTGAGAGACAGAAGGCAGGACTGCTGCAGATTCAGGGCCAGCCTAGGCTACACAGCAAGCCCCATATCAAAAGAATTGTAAGCATCTTGACCATTTGATTATCAAATAACATTTTAGAAAATGCAGCTGAACAAGGAGGGTGGAGGTGGGAAGCAGGCCCTTTTAGCAGATCTGATTTAAATAAAGCTTTTGGTTTCTTGATTCAAGATAATGTTTTAAATAAGTCTTGCTGAGTCCTCTAGAGGATATAGCTGGCACTGTGTGATTATGGCTCCAGAGGAAAAAACTGTCTGACAGATAAGATCTCAGAAAAAGGACATTTTCCTCCATGTTACCACTGAGGTTACAGTCTTCCTCTGATTAGACCATCGCCACAAAATTCTAAGAGGGTGAAGGGGCCAGCTGAGAAAAATACCCCAAACAATTAGACACACAGTCATGAGTCTCCTATAAATGGACTCAGCAGCAAGGTAGCTCAGACACTGCTCCTCTGCATATTACTTTTACTTTAATTTCCAAAAATAATTCCCGATATTAGTATTTTCCTTATTGTACATCTGCAAAAACATACAAGCTCAAAATAAAGCAGTAACAGATTTGCTGCCCAGTTCATATGCGCATTTAACAAGTGACCCACCCTTCACACAGCCAATTAGCTTTATTAATAAAACATCATTTCACTACTACTCACTAAGTTTAACCGAGCCTTCCATTCCCAAAAGCACGTTGTCACTTTTGATGTCTCTGTGGATCACTTGATTGGCATGTAAAAACTCCAACGCCTGTAAACACTGAACAGAGAACACACCTATCAATGAAGCAGCCCCAAGTCTAAGAGGTCACACAGCTGCAACGGCCGGAGTAGTGCTGTCTGGTAGACCCTCAAAGATTTACCATTTGTAGAGTAAAAATATCTTCTCATTTGCAAAGTCAAGAAAAACAAACAACTCTGGCTGGGCATGATGCAACATGCCTGTGATCTCAGCACTGGGAGGCTGAGGAAGGATAATGGAGAGCTCCAGGAAAGCCCAAGTTGCCCAAAGCAACACTGTTTTGTTTTGTTAAATATATATGGAGCCCTGCAGCACCACACACCTTTGAGTCCAGCACTCAGGAGGCAAGAGGAAGGAGCATTTTTTATGAGGCCAGCCAGAGCTACATAGTGAGACCTTGGCACACAAACACAAAGAATGAATTTCTAATTATTCTCACTAGGGCTGGTGGAGGGCTCAGTGGCACAGTACCAGCAAGCATGAACAAAAACAAAAACTAAATACAGAACCCTCAGTATAAAAGAGTAACTTCCAACTGAGTGTGGTGGTGCACGCCTGAAGAGAGGCAAGGCAGCAAATCCCAGCACTCAAGGAGGCAGAGGCAGGCGAATCCATGTGAGTTAAAGGCCAGCCTGGTCTACAAAGGCAGTCCAGGTCAGCCAAGGCTACAAAGAAAGCCTGACTTGAAGAAAAGAAAAAAACAAACCAAAAACAAACAAACAAACAAAAAAAACAAAAAAAAGTAACTTCCCCCTCATGCCTTGAGTAAAAAAGACTAAGTTTCTCCCTTCTTTAAATACAGAGGACCTGTGTTCACAGTGGCTCCAACTGTAACTCCAGTCCAAGGGGATCCAATGTCCTTCTCTGGCCTCTTAAGATACTACATGCACACAGTACACAAACATACATGCTAATAAAACACCCATCAACACAAAATTATACTAAAATCTCAACAAACCAAAACTTTGTTTGGTTCAGTGCCCTGAAATACAAGCGGAGACTGTAAATTGTAAACCTGAGAAAGGTTAGTTGTATTTTTTAAAATTATTGCCATCAGAGTGGAACAAAATCTGTACATCATTTATAACTAAAAAAAATCTTATTCCAAATATTCAACTATTCATTTAAGGGGGAAAATAGGTCTATCTCAGTATACCCAATCAGGTTCTTGGGAAAGATAAAGTGTAGGAAAATACTTACACAAATTTAAAATTTGTAACAGTTCTAAAATGCTGGCATATTAAAAAAAAAAAAAAGTGAATAGATTACAGAACTTCTAAGAACCAACTGTTAGATCAATTGAGAACTTCTGAAAAACAAAACAAAATAGCAACTAAACAAATTCTTACTTTTTATCCAGCTTTTAAGTGACTAAGATAAACACGCTCTTAAGGGGATGTCTGCTATTTGGAACTATTAAAGAGCTTAGTTCAAGGAGTGCTGGCCTGGGATAATAGAGGAAGTCCTGCGTAACACTAGGCATAGTGGTGCATGCCTGCAATCCCAGCACTCAGGAGGTAGAGGTAGGAGGATCACAACAAGATGGTCCTCCCTTTGAGGCCAGCCTGGACTACATGAGGCCCTATCTTAACGCAGCAGTCAATAGTTTCTAAGATTCATGTTTTACACATTTTTAATAAAAGCTGAAGAGGAAAGACCTCACATTTGCATTACTGTAGACTTGCTAAGAGCTAAAGCCAAATCACAGAAAGCACATCTAGCCCTGTGAACTCAGCACTTCTTAGTTTCTAAGATCAACTGCGGTCCTATGACCTTTTTCAAGTATGTTCTTTGAAACAATGACTTCTATAATAGAACAAAGCAGAACCAGTTTCTATAGCAATAAGCAAGTTACTAAGCCAAGTTTTAGCTGTGGAAAAGATAGAGAAAAGGAGCACTTACTTGTTTTTTGGTCTACATTTAGCATACTAGCAAAATTCAACTGGCTTAAGCAATCACTAGTCCAGACATTTTTTTAAAAAAAGATTTATTTATTATGTATACACAAGATCTCTTTATGCAACAGATCTTCTTATAGATGGTCGTGCGCCACCATGTGGTTGCTGAGAATCGAACTCAGGAACTTTGGAACAACATCCAGTGCTCTTAACCTCTGAGCCATCTCTCCAGCCCCTAATCCAGACATTTATTTGTAAATATGAAGTGCAGGCCAGTGAGGTCAGCAGAATGGGCTTCCTACTGCCATGCCTAGACATTTGAATTCAGACTTCCACATGTTGTCCTGTGACTTCCATATATGCGTCACAGTGTGTATATGACCACATATATGTGTACATATACAAGTAAAAGTATAATAAAAAAATTAAAAATCTAAGAAAATCACTAGTTTCTTTACTTCGGTGGTCTTTATTAAAGCCAAGGGCAATGCAGATACTGAAGCAAATACCTTTCGTTCATCACATTGATTTCAGTTTCCACTACTGAATTATACATTTTTAATGCTATCACATTTTACTTTGGAAAGTGTTCTATGTGGATGATATAAACCTTTCTCGCTGCTAAAGTCTGCCTGTGACTTCTATACCTCATAGGACCATGTCTTGTTCCCAAATTATCTTCCACAGGAAGGAAACTAAAGTTCTTTTTTTGTTTTCACTGGAGGCAGTGTCTCACTATGAAGTCCTGGATAGCCTCAAATTTATAAAAAGCCCCCTATGCACCTCCATGCCCAGCAGGACTGAAGCTCTTATCTGTTGAAATGATAAGAGGAAAAACTTAAAAAAAAAAAAAAAGCATACAAGAAGTATATAGAGAGCAATTCTCTGACATAAAAAAACGTATTTTTCACCTTTGCTAAAGCACACATTGCCTCAGCGACCAAATGGCAGGCGGACTCACCTCTCTGCAGACAGCTGCAATCTGTGCTTCATCCATGCACGTTTCTGTTACAACATCAGTGAGTGACCCCCCAGCAAGGTACTCCATGACCACAAACAACTCATCTCCTACCAAGTAACTGAAAAAGAACATCAAAATACACATGGCTTCTAATTTCTCTAAGAGCATGGCTCCCTGCAGTGAGGAATTAAAATGCCCCGCACAATGACAACACAAACAAAGAGCCCACAGTTTGAGGATGTCCTGAACCGGGAGTGGCAGTGCACACCTTTAACCCTGGCGCTGCCTCAGCAGAGGCAGATCTCTGAGTCTGAGGCCAGCTGGGCCTACACAGTGAACACCTGAACACGCAGAGCTATATGGTGAGGCCCTGGTGGGAAAAAAACAAAACAAACAAGAAAGTAGATGTCCTCAGCTGGGTGAGGACAATGCCAGCACTCAGGAAGCAGATATGAAGATCAATGTGAACTCCAGGCCAGCAGGCAAGAGCAAGACACTGTCTGAAACAAAACAAAACCAAGCCAGAAAAAAAAAATTTTTTTTTCATTTTAAAGTTATAGTTTGCCCACATTGTTTGAGTATATACATAAGTTATTGCAATTAGAATGATTCAATATAGGGGCTGGAGAGAAGACTTCAGAGCACTGTCTGCTCTTCCAGAGAACCTCAGTTCAATTCCCAGCAACCACATGGTAGCTCACAATCATCTATAAGAGGATCTGATGTCCTCTTCTGATGTACAAATGAATGTGAAGACAGAGCATTTATACACATAAAATACCTAAATAAATACCCAAATAAACAAATAAATAAATAAATGATTAAAAAAAAAAAGATTCAACGTAGGAATTATTTCACTGGGGCAAGCTAGGCATGGTAGCCACTGAGGTAAGAAATTTCAAGTCTAAAAACTCTGCCTCCAAAAATAAAACAAAACAAAAAAGAAGTGTGTGTGTGTGAGTGTGTGTGAGTGTGTGTGTGTGTGTGTGTGTGTGTGTGTGTGTGTGTGTGTGAGACGGGGGGTGGGGAGGCAAACAAAGTGGGAGGCTTGGAAAGGTTAAGGAACGCATGCAAGGTGTCACACAGACAGAAACTGACAAGAGCAACATCTAAAGCTAAGCAAACAACGACCCCAAGTCTAGGTTCCGTCTAAACTTCATGCTGTGCTGATGTGAAACATACTTTACTTAAATTAACTTCTGTGTATGGGTGTTTTGCCTGTACATATGTCTGCGCACCAATGTATACCCCTAGAGGAAAGCAGAGGGTACTGCGTCCTCAAGGACTAGGGACAGAGTTGTGAGCAGCCCCGTGGGTGCTCAGAATTGAACCCAGGTACTCTATAAAAGTAGCTCTTTCCCTGTGAAATTATATAATTTTTGGGTTTTTCTTTTCTCTTTTTCTTTCTTTTTTTATTGGTTTTTTGAGACCATGCCAGGCTGAAAATTATATTTTAAAAAGGCAAGAAAATGGGTGGCTGGAGACATAGTTCAGTGTTTAGGGAATTTACTGCCTTTCCAGAGGATCTGAGTTTGGTTCCCAGCACCCACACTGGGAGGCTCAAAAACACTTGTAACTCCAGTTCTAGCATTCTGACACTCTTCTGGCCTCTACAGGCATTGTCATGCCAAGCAGGCACACACATACACAGAAGTTAAAAAAAAAAAAATCTTGAAAGGGGAAAGGGGCCAGGTGTGGTGGCCCATGTCTGTAGCACTTGGGGAGGCAGAGGCAGGTGGACCTCTGTGATTTGAGGCCAGCCTGGTCTATAAAGGGAGTCTAGGACAACCAGGGCCACACAGAGAAACCCTGTCTCCAAACAACAAAGTCAACTGCAATCTATACAATTTTATATTCTGCTTTTTATTTGTTGTTTAACATAATATCTAAGCTCAGAATCTTGAATAGCAACCTGAGATGGAAACGTGTAAACATTCGCAGGTGAGATCCTTGCAGAAAAGGACCTACACTGCAGTGTGCTGTTTTCACTTCTTCCCCCTCATCCTTTTGGCTTACGTTTCAGCATTGACATTTTAATCTAAAGTGATCTTCCTGTCTCAGCCTTCCAATGCTGAGAAGACAGTTATGATTCATCACTCCTGAGTTGATCTCCATTTAAAGAAAATATTTATATTTACCTGTCCAAGAAGTTAACTATGTTGGGATTCTTTAACTCTTTCATCACCAGAATTTCATTAATGATTAATTCCTTCTTTGGTTGTTTCTGTAAATTAATCTGCTTGATAGCAACCTGTAATAGAAACAAATATGAACTATCAAAACAGCATTCCTAATTCTCTTACAAAGTTATAAGCACTAATTAGTTAAGCCAATTTTAATATGTATACCCCACACACTGAGAATGTAACTTACCTATACATGTTTTTACATGTGTACAGCCTATGCACAGGGTTTTGTGATACAGATTCTAAATTATGTTTGAATTGGTAGTTAAAACATTTTTAAATGACATTTTGTCTGTCTTACATGCGTGGGTGTGCATGTGCCATGGTTGCACATGCTGAGACAGAGGGAATGAACTCAGGTTGGTGAGTGCCTTTTCCTACTGAGCCATCTCACTGACCCTAGATATTTCTAGACATTTACTAACCAACCTAAGGTCGATCTACAAAAGAAATTAATTCTTGAAATTCTAAACTGATAAATATTTAAAAATATTCCCTTATCCATGATACTAAACATATTCATTTTTGTACCCTAACATGGTAACTGTTGTTGACTCAACAGATCAATCCTTACAATGCACCTAAGACTAGGGAGACACTCTTCCCATCCCAAACCCTCTGGTAGCGGCCTGTACTTAAAATGCAGTGCTGGGAAGTTCACACAGGCAGACCCACTGGTTTCTTGGTTGGCCAGCCTCATTTATTTGGTGAAGACAGCCTCTGGTTATTGCATATTCATGAGCACATGTAAGCATGCATATCCCATGTGCACATAACACAGTTCCATTCATTATCCCTTCTCCCTACACAAAGAGCTAACATGCAGACTTGAACAGTAGCTACCTCTTGCCCCAAAGCCACATCAGTTGCAGTAAAAACTGTTCCAGAAGCCCTGTAGGAAAAAAAAAAACGAATGAAATTTAAGTTCTTAAGTTACATCATTTACACAATTCAAATACTCTGAACAACTGAAAAAGATTTAACAACTTAAGACTCAAGACTTCTAAAACAAAAAAGAAGGAAAACGAAGATGCAATCTTTATAGCCAAAACTTACATATTAAATATTTCAGGCCTATAATAATATAAGGAAAAAAAAGAAGAGCACACACTCATAAATCTACTTCTATGATTAAGAAACAAGTGGCAGGGCAGTGGTGGTGTCTGTAGGACTATGTAAACGAAGACCCTACAAACACACACACACACACACACACACACACACACACACACACACCACCAAGCCAAACCAACAAACAAACAAAAGCTAAACAAAGAACCCACCCATTCCCCAAAACCAAAAGTAAGGTAGGGTGTACATGTCTATGCAGCTCTGCTTGGGAGCTGAAGGCAGGAGGGTGATGCTGGCTCAATGCTAGTTTGGGCTTCAGAGAAACTGTCTCATGAAAAGCAAAACTCAAACCAAACAATGAACCATGTCAGACTTAAAGGCGCCTCTACTCTCTGTAAAAGGACCCTCTGGCCTGTATGCCGTGTATATCCTGGGTTTGATGTGTACCGTTCCTAGGCATTTCTCTGAACTTCTAATCACAAAAGGACATAGATATGTTTTTCAAGAAAATTTACAAAGTTTTGTTTCATGAGTTTCTTTGTAATTTCAATACTGGATTTATGATTGTCATTCATGCACATAAGAATTATTCTTGTTCATTCATTGTTATTATTTACTATGAAACGTCTCTATTATTATGCAAAAGCACAAAGGTAAAAAAAGGCTGAAGATGTAGCTCAGTAGTAGAGCTTTTGCCTAGATGCACAAGGCTCTAGGTTCAGTACCCAACACACACACACACACACACACACACACACACACACACACACACACACACACA